TCTCTCTCTCTCTCTCTCTCTCTCTCTCTCTCTCTCTCTCTCACTCTCTCTCCCTTCTCTCTCCACACCCCACACCTACACTACAGTAACCGTCAACGACCCCCTCCCTACCTGTGATCACCGAAGCCACGAGCTGTACGACGAACATCACACTCACATAATCCATTCTGACAGAACACGGTAGAAAGAAGCCGCACACGGTGAGTCAGGGAGGGAGGCTGGAGGAGAACACACGAAAGCCGGGGGTGGGTGTGGACTGCTGGCGGTCACACATGGATTTCACACACACACACGCGCGCACCCACACACTCTCTCTCTCGGACCGAGCACGGGGAGGGGAAGAGAAGAGCCGCGGTCTAACAGCTATGGCGGCAGCTGGAGGGTGCCCGGATGACGGCTGTGCAGCAGCCGATCAATACGGTTCTAGCGGCGCCGTTCGGCATCGGCTGCTGCTGCTGTGATGACGTAACCAGAAATGATGACGTCAGCTGCAGTTATGACGTCAGCTACAGTGATGACGTCTGCTGCAGTTACGGTGTCTGCTCCAACGACCCTCGTAACGACAGAGACAGCTAAGAGATGCTGTCTCCATGGCAACAACGACCCTCCGTGTCGATACCAACGCGGTGTTCACCGACTAACGTTAACATTGTTTACAATGTTATTTGTGTTAACCAATCAATATTAACATTGTTTACAATGTTATTTGTGTTAACCAATCAATGTTAACATTGTTTACAATGTTATAATATTATGTGCTAACCAATAGTTACATTACAAATCACGCAAACTCAATTTGGCCGCACGCAGGCCGTACGGTCAGATTTTCAAGGTACCAGTCACGACTGATTTTAACTAACTCTTATTCATCGCAGAGACAAAACGCTGTGGAGGGAGAGAGAACTGGCGAACATGGAAAGCTAAGGTTCGTACGGAATAAGGAACAACGTTAGGAATAGGCTAAAATGCATAACAAACAACAACGAGAAACAGTATTACAAAACGTGAAATAGCAAATTGAGTAGTTTTATGTCACCCCTTTTTAATTATTTATTATGTCAATAAACAAGTTGTTATGTCAGTGTAAACAATACAAAACGCGAAGTATCAAAAAATATCTGCAGACTTTGCATTCACCCATTCAGAACCTCTTACATCATACTTTCATCATGAAACATGATGATTCTTTCCCTCCCATGGTACTACTACACTCACTCAGTCACGACCGACAGGGAATATATTGTATTCGCAACGTGCATTCGTGCGCAAATCTGATCACCATTTGTAAAGGATATCCTATCTGAGGTAATCACACATATAGGGCCGGTTGCCTATCAGTCGAGAATAGATAGCATCGAATTGGATTACACCAGCGGGTGTCTGTGCTGTTACGGCTGCATCCATCACTCTTGAGTCTGCTAGGTGAAACCCAGCACGCACGGATGCACGCACGCGCATGCACGCACGCACGTACCAGCGCACGCACGCACGTACCAGCGCACGCACGCACGTACCAGCGCACGCACGCACGCACGCACGAACGCACACACGCATGTACGAACGCACGCACGCACGCGCACGCACGCATGTACGAACGCACGCACGCGCACGCACGCGCACGCACGCGCACGCACGCACGCACGCACGCACGCGCACGCACGTTCACTATACCAATGCTTACCAATATTACACAATGCGCGTAAAATTATTGCCCATACAGCGTGCACACGTGTTCGCGTGAACACGTGCTCACAAGGCATAATAACCACATATTCAGCTTCATCCCAACAAAATATTAATTACACGCTCCAGACGATTTAAATCAATACTCTTCCACGCTCTGCCAGCCAGCCAGCCAGCCCTTCACACCCTGAGCCTTCCCTTCCTCGTGCACGCCAGTGTACGTATAGTACTCACATCCATAATCAATACATTCACCCGTTGGACACATACATTAATTCGCAGTAAATCGTACACGGAAAGATTACGTACACTTAATTGTTGTCCCCGCGGTACCGTGTTAGGGTTAGGGTCGAAAATGCAGATAATTAGTTCATAATAATAATAATAATCGTTGGACGACGCATAATTGCCTTCCGCAATGTGCGAGACTGCTATAAGTCTGTATATAACATATTAAAGGGAAGATAGGGTAGATATGTTGTAACAGGAACTGCCCCCTACCCCCCACCACCCACACCCCTCCCCACACACCCACACATATAACTCAACGTGCTGTTGGGTTAACCCCAAGTACCTCCTCAGTTTATAATGAAGTTACACGCAATTCTACAGAAAATGAAACCTGAATGTTTTCGGTGCACTTACGGATCACTCGTGTCATCTGACGCGCACGTAGAGTCACCGACGACGACGCGACGTTACGCGCCGTGTGCCAACTCGCGTCTACCGCTGGCTAACGCGCCGTCCCGGCACCGACTCTCGCATCTCCCCACAGGGTGCGCCGCGTCTGCGCCGCGCCCCTCACGACATTACAAGCCGTCGGTAGGACGCGGCGCCCCCTACCTCGCACCGACGCCGTCGCTACGACACGCACGCGCTCCAGTTCGCCCGCCACTCGTCGGAGCCCAGTTGAACGACGTCGCTCGAATATCCGGCGCGTTGGAACTCCGCCAGAAATCCGGGAAAGTTCTCCTTCGTGAAACGCCGACTCATGCTGACAAGTTCGCCTGCGTGCATTCCTGCCGGTGCAAAAACACAAGAGCATTCAGATGCTGATCCGCCAACGTAAAACACAAGAGCATTCTGATACTAGATTGTCGATGCAAGCACGAGCATTCCGATGTAAAAGCCCTGCCGGCCCACCAACATAACCTACTGATGCAAAACACAAGAGCATCCAGACTCTAATAAACTGCAGGCCTGACAACGCAAACACAAGAGCATTCAGACTCCAACTAAAGAACTGCAAGCATCCCGACTTAAACACAAGTATTCAGACACTAGGGCACCGCAGGTCTGCTGAGCATATAGTCACTTCCATTTTTCTACCGCAGATCAACACTTCACCCGGCGGACACACAGATTTTGACCCCCCGGACTTAGTTTCAGAGTCCGTACCGTCTGCGTGTTTGTCGAGAGCGCTGGACAGCGTCTTCCATGCACACGTGTGATGACGCGTCTTGATGCAGGCCAGCATGAAGTAGACAACCTCGGCTTGGAACAGGGCTTCCAGCTGATCTCGCGACGTTGACGCCTCATGCAGGACTATGTCCAGAGAATCTGCAGCAATATGTATGTGTTTGCAATGAACTACTGTGTCTCACACT